GTGGCAAAGTTCCTGTGAAATTTATAGTAACCACACCTATTTGAGAATTGGATTTAGTGGTAAGATATTTGAAGTGTAAAATATTACAATCCCTCATGGGGAGTGAAGTTTCAAACAATGGTATTATTATTAATATCAGTATCAGAGTAAATGTTACTATCATTCTTATCATTAATTCACATTCAACAACATTTCCATTCATCACCATCATCACAATTACTGTCACCATCATCACCACCATCACCATCACCACCATCACCATCACCACCATCAACATTACCATCATCACTATCACCATCATTATCACTATCATCATCACTCATCATCACCATCACCATCATCATCACCATCACCACCATCAACATTACCATCATCACTATCACCATCATTATCACCATCATTATCACTTTCATCATCACTCATCATCACCATCATTATCACCATTTATCATCACCATCATCACCATCATCACCATCATCCCCACCATCATCACCACCATCACCATCATCACCACTATTGATCATCACCATCATCATCACCATCATCCCCACCATCATCACCCCATCACCATCATCACCACTATTTATCATCACCATCATCACCACCATCACCACAATCACCATCATTATCACCATCATCATCACCATCATTATCACCATCATCATCACCATCATCATTAACATCATCCCCACCATCACCACCACCATCTCCATCATCATTATCACCATCATCACCACCATCACCATCACCATCATCACCATCACCATCACCATCACCATCATCACCATCATTAGTCAGCCAATACTTAACCAGAAGTGCATTGACATCTTACTAATGCCCGACAATCAAACGGCCAATGATCATGAATGTCTTACCATTATGTACTACTAAAACATATTAATATTTCTCTGTGGTTGGCCTGTAATAGGCACTTCTCTCGATCTGTCTCCTTACCATACGAGCTGACACCTCCATATCAGGATTCTTCCTTATGCTTACAAACTCCTTTGGCTCTTTCTTGGATTTACACTTCCGCTTTCCTTTAGCGTTTGAGGGAGGGGAAACTTGCTTGGAAGCAATTGGCCCTTTGTCGGCTGCTTTCAGGTGCTTTTTCAAGCTATTTACACCAGCAATAGCATCATCAAGATTATTAGCCCACGACACTCGCTCTGCTATCTGTGAAATGGGTGTTAGAGGGGTCCCTCTAAGTGTAATGCAATCAAGCTCACAAGACCGCAAGCGTAAGGTGTTGTAGAGATATTCTGTGAGATGGACATCATTGACGTCACCATACTGTTTGTTGATTTCTCTAATGACGACATCATTGACTGTGCCCATGTTCTTCTCAATGGAATTGTTTTCTTCTATGATACTATGGATCAACTGTAAAATAACAAATATCATAAATTAACTGTTCTAAATCTTGCTTTCTGATTGGTTGGTGCTTTATGAGAGCACACAGCACGCACACACACTTCTAGTTTCATCATTCTTGTAATTTATATTTTATAAAAGTAATAAAAAAATTGCTTACTGTGCTGTATGCAGTTATAAAGCACTTGGGGATTGGCAGAATGCTCGAGAAGTGTCGAGAAGCACTCCACTATGCATCGTGCTTCTCCTAACACTTCTCTCGTGTTCTGCCAATCCCCGCATGCTTTATAACTGCATACAGCACACACGCACATTTTCTATTTCTTCAGTAGAGTCATTGAGAGAATTATTTAATCAATAATTATCAATTAGTATTTTTATTTTGGGAATTAAGCTAAGTGTGGTGTAGCGGTAATACACTGGCCTCTCAGGGTCTTGGTTAGATTCCTGTGCTCCCTCAAGCGAACAGGAAAGAAAGCAAAAATGCTGTACAAGACATTTATTACAGTGCACCTTAGAAGGGTCTCATTTGAGTGAGAAACACATGGTACTGTCTTACACATGTACTTTGTACCACATACCGTAACACTGAAATTGACTTAATTCACCTTAACCTGTCACATGATGTAAATGGTGTTGGATTGTGTTATGGACACCAAAAAGTTCGGACATCGTTCTCGGAATCCCATACAAATTCACTAACTTTAAAAAAGAAAATTCAGATTAATTTCTTTAGTTACTAGCTCTCTAAACACAGTAAGAAAACCTTCAATCAAGTTATAAAAATGATATTTTGCTTGTATTTAGGAAGCTAACTAAGCTATAATCTTGAGTAAATAATTCGTTCAAAAAGTCAGGATCCAGGAATTTGTTCAGGGAGGGGTACACCCCTTAGATCAAAGGGAAAAAACATTATTTTGTATTGGTTATCTTCAAAGTATAGGGGCACAAAGTCGAACCAGGGAGGGGTACGCACCCCCTCCACCCCTCCCCGGGATCCGCCATTGATATTTGTAAGGAAATCCGAGAACAATGTCTGAATTGAAGGTGAATTCCAAAACAGTCTATTATAACAATTATTGGCTAACCTCTTCCAACAAGCTTATGTCTTGAATTTGAAAGTATCGTCCACCAGTGATAGCAGTGAGGCCTGACAAGAGATAGTTCTCAGGCGCTTGAGAAGGACTGGTCTTTCTTCCTTCCAGGTCAATACCAATGATATATAATGGTACGGCATCAGTTGCTAGGGCGTGGCCTAGGTCAATTACATCGTAACCAAAGCAACATCTGTAGTGCTCAAGGTTGGCAGAATTGCTTGTAATAAAACCTGGAAATGTTTTGAGTAGTGTTTAAAAAATGAGTAGGAGTGTTTTATCAGGTATAAAAGCATGAGGCATAGCTGAGTGCTTTTAGACCTGATAAAACACAATCTACGAGTTTTTTGAACTGCTTAAAACACTCATGAACAATTTATAAGATTTTGGTTCAACTGGAGCCACCATACACATCACGAACATGGACTTTTATACATCGATAGCAGTTCGTATGTACCTGTTATGAGCAGTTGAGGTTTATATATATGTCACTGCATGTCATCAGTCATTCCCAATAAAGGCTCCCACATCTTAAAGACAGCATGCTAGTCTCAAGACAGGATTGCTAGTCAAGTAGATTTCATGGGTCGTCAGTGATCGTATGTGAGACAGACCTTGATGAGACTCTAAGTCTTCATCTAAATTTGGAGAAACCTTTATCTCTGATAAAGTCGTCCTTATTAGTATTCTTTATATAAAGAATACTAGTGTAGAGTTCTTTATCGGATATAAAGGTCCATGCACGTGACGTGTATGGTGGCTCCAATTGGACCAAAGGCTTATGAATTAATAATGAGTTTATGCAAATGAAGACGAATCTTTATCAGATTTAAAATCACCTTCATGGTCATGATTTCTATTGTGTTTTCTTCATGAATTATTAATGAGTTTTCTAAATTGGTTTAAAAAACTCATTAATAATTCATAAAGGAAACACAATAGAAATCATGACCATGAAGGAGGTTTTATATCTGATATAGATTCGTCTTCATTTGCATAAACTTTAACTTGGATTTTCTCTATCAAACTTGGTTCATTTCGTAAAGAATTCGGTACAGTATGAGAACATACATCAGGAGTTTTTTAAGCCGTTCAATAAACGAGCAGATCGTGTTTTATCGGGTCTAAAACCACTCGGCTACGCATCGTGTTTTATACCCGATAAACCACTCCTGCTCATTTATTAAACAGTACATAAGATACTGTCAGTCAATTCAAAAAATGTTGTTATTGACCAGCTTATGCCTATGTGATTGGACCAAAAGGTAATATATGGGTAGAAATAAGTTCAATTACCACTTAATCATATCCTTTTTGTAATCATACACAAGGAAAAGACACAATAAAGAGCGCAGAATAATCAATTTAATGTAGTAGAAGAACTAAATGCGAACAAAACAAAAAAAAATCTAAAAATACTTTTTTTTTTGATTTTTTTGTTTTATTTTATTTTATTTTATTGTTTAAAAAAATTATTTTGAGGATGCGATTAAGAGCCCTAAGGATGTGATTTGGGAATTAATCGCACTCCTTTGAACCAATCAGATTGCAGGATTTGGTAGTGATTACAAAAAGAATATGATTAGGGTAGAAATCAGTGAAGCAGTTGACTGCATAATTTATTTACAAATTAACCTGATTAGTTATGCCTTGGGTTTACTGAATTTGGTCCCTTCACTGGTGATCATGAGCTGACAGTGTTGGAGGAGTTTTTCTAATATATGCTCTATAAATATTTTCAAAATTGGGAACTTGTTTAAAGTGCACCTAACCCCAGATACAATACTTTCAGTACTGATTCTGCATAAAGTGAAGAGTTGAAATATGGTGAAATATTTATTCATTTGAATGTTGCATCTTTAAGTTATGAAGGTTTATACTTCCAATATGTTAATGACTGTGACGTCACTACAGGCTTCATTAAATATGCAAATTGTGACTGGTTCATACAAACAGTTTTTAAAAAGAATCATTATTATACTCAAGGTTTCCACAATGTTTATTGCAAATCAGATGTCTCATAATGGCTAATGATTATTATTAAAAATTAATATTATTATTAATTTTCTTCCTTCAGGAGTTCCAAAATTATTATATACAATGGATATATATACAATGGATATATATGTTTTGTGGACACGGGGTTTTCGTGTTTCTGTGTGTATATAT